AGCACCTGTCCTCGTGCACTGGGGCATATAATAGTTGCTCAGTAAGTCCTCCCTCCGTTAGCAATGGCTGGCAGAGTCCTCGTTTTTCCCTGAAGACACTGCATTGTCAGGCTCCGGACAGAGGGAACTTAATTTGATTTTGTCCCCCCGAGTCAGTGCTGATTAAGGCTGCCATAAAGCAAATTAGCTGAGTCGGGCCCATTCCTGGAGGAGCTGAGCTGCCCTGCAGCCCAGCATGGTTCCGAGGGCCCCCGGCAGCGGAGTCGGGGAAGGGAGCAGGGGAGGTGGGCGTCAGCATTAAATCCTCTGCAGGCTGGGGACAGGGGATCAGGGCCTGGAGAGATTGTCTGAGCTGCCTGGCTCGTGACTCTGCCTTGCCCTTTGCTCAGACCGATGCGCAGTCCTGCAGCGACCCTATCAAGGGAGGGTGCCTCGGCGCCTGGCAAGGGTGTGGCTCCAAGCTTGGTCCGATGTCATTTTTTAGGAATTCTTTGGGATTGAGAGGGATTGAACCATGAAGAAATGTTGAAGAACCTTAGATTTGGTTTCTGTCTCTATCCTATACCTCTCTCACGCCCTAGTTATTATTAGACACTGTAATTCTTGCATCTATAGGAGCCTTTCCCCCAGTTAGCAAATAGATATGCCTGACTAGAGAGGCTGGGCTGGGCTGACTCATTCATTCACTCACTCACTCATTCAATGATTTGCTCACCCATTCACTCATTCACTCATTCGCTAACTCATTCACTCACTTGCTCACTCATTCACTCATTCATTCATTCACTCATTTATGCAGACATTTATAGAGCGTCTCTTACAGTTGTAGGTGTTGAAGGAAAAGATGTTGAACGAGCTAGATCCCTGCTGTCACAGGACTGACTGCCTACAGGGGCCACGGGACCCGCAGACAGGTAGGCAACGCCAGGGGTAGTACTGGCAGAGGTGGAGGGTGCGCTGGCAGCATTCCAGCAGGACCTGCCTTTCCGGGCATCGCTGGCAGAGATCTCCCCGTGCAAGAAGGGAATTAACCAGGCCAGACGGGAGAGGATGGAAGGAGCGGAGACAAGTGTTCCAGGCGGAGGGCACAGCAGGGGCAATGGCCAGCAGCTGGAGGTGTGTTCCAGAGGCTGAAGCAGCAGCGGGTGAGCACAAGGGAGGGAGCCAAGGGAGCTCTGGCGCGTGGCTGTGGTTTCATGGCTGCTAGCGTCATCTCTAATCCCTTCTCTCCTGCTTGGACATGTGTTAGCCAAACTCTCCCCTGCATTCCAGAGAGTTCCAAGCCCTGGAGGAGCTGAAAGCGTGTCACTGGCCTTAGGAACACTTCAGAGAGCAGGGATGGGGATGTACCCAAGCGAGAGGGAGGCTCACGTGGTCCCAGATGGCACTGGGCATCTTTAGCATCGTGTCTCACCAGAGACCCCTGCCCCTCTGGCAGAGCAACTCTTTGGCAAAGAAAAATGTCAACAGCATATCCCAGGAAGATTCTGGAGATGCTTAAAGGAAAGCAGCGTGCGGGGGTGAGGGAGGCCTGCTTCTCAAAGCGACAGTTCCAGGATGTTATGGTCACAGTGCCCGGAAGCCGGAAACCGTGGGTTGGGCCACAGCAGCACAAGTTAGAAATTCAGCTCTGGGGAGACTCTTCTGCCCCCGCCCGCCCCCAGGCCTCCGCTGAGATAGACCCCTGCGGGTCTGTGAAAACCAAGGGATAGCGCGATAAGTGGGCTAATTTGCATTTAATAGGGGCACAAATTGCAGCAATGACTAACCATGGCAACGAGCAATTATATTAGGCTGAAATTAAAAATGGAAGTGAAAAAAAAAAAGAATCCCTAAGAAATTCAGCCAGTCCCTTCCTGGCTATGGAGGGTGTGCAGGGAGGATGACAGACAGGGACTCTTGCTGGGAAGAACCCACACTTGGTTGAATTCAGAGCCGTCACCACCTTGAAATTCTTAATAATATTGAACAAGGGGGCCCCATTTTCATTGCACTGGGTCCCACAAATTATGTACCTGGGCCTGATTATGGAATCTGGCTGCCACAGCTTGCCCATGCCTCCTTTTAAATATCCTTCCCTCCCCCATTCAAATATATCCTGTCCTATTTCTCAAAGAGATGATTTGTGGCAGCATTTCCCTTTTTTTCCTTAATAATTTACCTGGCCTTTTAAATTAAGGTATAACATTCAAAGAGCAAAGTTCCTGAATCTTACTCAATGACGTTTTACATAGGGCTGAACCCTTGTAATGTAGGAACATTTCCTTCCCCGCCCAAGGCTCCCTGGGGCACCTTCCCCATCCACCTCCTGCCACCCAGATAGCTACCACCCTGGGTGCTGTCTCCGTAGATACACTTTGTGGCAGCCTCTTATCTCAGAAAGATTTTCTTATTTAATTTGATAACTTCTCCTGTGGGTGATTCAGGTCCCTGGGAATCTAGAAAAATCTTCAGGGGAGAAATAAAAGAAAGAACGACTTCAAATAACTCTCACTATGGCAAGAACGCCCAAAGTTGAAAGAAGATCTCAGTCCTTCATTGTGGAGGTCCATTTCTGCAACGAGATCCTTGCGTCCTTAGTTTGGAAGATGCTTCCAAGAATCTGGAGTCATATATTTCGAGATGATGTATTATCTTAAATTATCTTAATTGTCTCACTAATGTGAACTTGATATAAAGTAGGCCCTTGAAGTGCATTGCTAAGGAGGTAAAAAAAAAAAATAGATTAATAACCTAATCAAGCATTTGGAAACAATTGGCATGCCTCGTGGAAAGAGTACTCGAAAAATTTCATTTAAGAATGTAATTACATTGATTGAAAAGACGTATTTCTTTGTTTTGGGGAGCGGATCTTATAGTTTGAGAGCATTTAGCTGAATTGATAGAATTATATTTAAAATGCTGTCTTCTTAATTGTATCAAAATGTAATTTTCAGGCTTTTACTGCAGAAAAAGTTGGGTTTCTGGAGTCCTCTGCTGTTTTAATGTTGATTCGGGCTGAGCACTGGTGTGATTGGAAACAGGAAACATGAAAGTAAAAAGAGATTCATATTTACGATATTTTCACTCAGAGCCAACCTTGAAATAGGGCAGGTGGCTCTGGCCTTTCTGAGGGGGGATGGGGGGCATAAGAAGCGCGGGCTCTGGAGCCCCAGCTCCGTGTCCTCGGGGCTGCCCAGCCTCACTGTCCTGAATGACACCTTTCCCTTTTGGAGACAAGAACCTTGGCATAGTTTTTTAAATCTTCTTTGTGGTGTCCTATTTTCTTTCTTTCAGAGAGGGTTGGATTTTGGGAAACAAGTCATTTGAAGCTACGACCAGGTAGTGATACGCTAGGAAAATAATACTTGGAGATAATATTTGGGACAACGAGGCGAGTCCCTTGAGTGGCTCCCAAAGCTCCGACCCTTTCATCCTGAGGCTCTGCCTCCTCCTGGCCGTTAATCCAGGGAGAGAATACCCGGGAAGGAAAAGAAATAATAAAAAAAAAAAGAGCTGCGGGCACAAAGACATTGGTCATAGTAGCTGAATAAGCAAACAAGCAAACAAACTCAAAAACCACCTAAATGCCCCCGACAGCCTTGCAGAGAGTCCTGCCACCTGTACCCCACGCAAGAATTGTCATTATAAAGACACGGAGATATATATATATGGAAACGTGTGTGACATAATACAGGAGAAAAGCCCTAGAACCAAGCTGTAAGCACACTCTACGGCTGGAGAAAGAAAAACAGCTGTTGTCTCAGGGTGGCGGGACTGGGAGGAGGGCCGTCTCCCCTTGTTTTCACTTAAAACTGGGAATTCATGAAAACTGAACATCCCAGGGACAAAGAAGAGAAGCAAATGCACACGTGGGCAGCCTTCGCTGCAGCATAATTTTGAGGGAGAAGTGACAGTGTTTGGACACGTAAGAATCTCTCGCGGTGGCTGTGACCGAGGAGGGTGACCCGCATTCAGGCGTGTATTCCATCACGTTCCCTACTGACAATGGCAAGTAGCACTTGTAAAGTTGACAGAAAGCGTTTGTGTAAAATAACTCACCCTGCTCAGCACAACCCAGCGAGGCTGTCGCGCCCGTTCTGTGCGACGGCCCAGGACAGAGGATCTCAAGGCTGCCGGGGGTGCGACGGAGGGTTCGCGGCAGCAGGAGGGGACCCCACATAAGAAGCCCGTCTCCAGCTGGGGGCCTTGTTGGAGGGGGAGGGGCTTGAGAAGATACTGGTCTGCTCTCTCCTCTGAGACAGGAGGCTTCTCGTCCACAGCCCCCTCCCAGGCTCCCCAGCCGTGTTCAAAATGGGCTTCACGCAATCCCGACAGCACCCCTCAAATGCCTGCTGCCGATTTGACCTGATAACCCCCTGGGGGTGGAAGATGAATCCGGTTCTAGGCCAGGAGGTCACCAACTTGAAATCCCGCCGCAGTCCTGGCAGACCGGGCTCCGAGACCTTGTGCTCACGTCACATACACAGGAACACTCTTGACTCTCCGACGGAAACGTGTATTCTCCGTTTTTTTACTCAAAACACACGACCTCTTGATCGATCCGTTCCCGTTGTTTATACAGCCTGAGATAAAGGGGGATATTGATTAATCAAAGAAAACCCCCACGCAGCTCCGTGATAATTAGCCAGGGAAACAGCTCGGGGAGAACAGTGGGGGTCGATGAGGACCGCGGCAAAGCGGGAGGGCTCAAGGCCCACCCAAAGGAGGCCCAGTCACGACTGGGGGTGCCGTGTAGAGAAAGGGCCCCGTCGTTGTCACATATTCTTATTTTCAGAGAGAAGCTAGAGACCTGAATATGCAAAATTCCCCAATGTTAAAATATTTTGAAAGAGAAAGAGCCTCAGTTTGAAGAATTTCAAGAAATCACATCAGTTAAGTGTCTTGTCCCCCGAAGCAGGCCCCGAGAAAAGCATTCCGAGGCCGGGGTCTCCACGGGAGACAACCTCAGGAACTACCTGTGGTGGAGGGTTCGTCTCTCTTGCGGAGTCCGAGGGGATTGTTACTTTAAAAAATACAATAAGTATGGGAACAAATACAAAGAAAATACAAGCCTCGTTTTTAAAATTATTGTTAGCTTCAACAGTTCAACGGTTGTAAATTAACGCGCCAAATTGCTGTAAAAGTTTCTAAATGTTCACACTCCATTTCGGCACTTAGCACGTCACAGCCTGTGACAAACATCCGGAAGCGGCCCGCACAGGGGCCGGGCTGTGCGTGCAGCAGCAGGACTTGCGCAGAACACGACTCGGGCCCATCCAGGTGGGGGCACCTGGGGTATTCAGCCACCCCCGTCCCGCCCGCAGTTGAGTAGGGGCAGTTTCCCCGGCACTAACTCTCCCGCATTCTGCATGACCCCGGCAGGCTGTGGGTTCCCGCGGCCACACGCAGCCCTGCTGTGGACGGTTGCGAGGAATGCTGTCCGCAGGCCTCAGGTACGAAGGGAATGTGGGCAGGACACTAACTGCAACTGCTACCTGAGCGTCTTCTCGTTTCATCTTATGATAGCTCCATAGCCACGGTTCTCAAAGTGTGGTGCGGGGCTGTAGTACTGGCAACCCCTGGCAACTTGCTTAGAAATGCGAATTCACAGGCCCCACTGCAGCCCTGCTGAATCAGAAACTCTGGGGGTGGAGCCCAGCTCTCTGGATTCTGATGCGTGCTCAAGTCTGAGAACCTCTGCGCTATTGCATTTAAAGCAATTAGGCCAAGAGACAGTTAACGAGAAATATCCTTGTTCTCATATACAACCAATGGGACCTTGACTAGGTTTGGTGTCTTTCTTTCCAAGGGCTCAAAGTGAACTTATTTTCATAAGAATTGTATTATTTAAGTAAATATGAAGCTTAAGCTTTATATTTCCTGGCCCTAAGCCATGCCAATAAGTCCAATGCATAATAATCACCTTAAAACCCACCCATGGTGATCTGCACACAGCAATGTGACCAGAATCACTCCTCTGTTAGATATCAATAGTGGCAGATGATAAACTCTCTGCTGCAATGCGACACCTTCTTTACCAATAGGCCATTAAATGTCTGAAACAGAGATCTCCCTGATTAAATAGGAAATGCCATCTGCAGAGTCTGGTATCCTTCCAGGGTCTGCTAAGGATGGGACCAAGACAAAGAACAAAAAGTCTTTCATTTGCTCGATGTTTTCTTTTTATTTTTCAAGGTGCTCGCATATAAATAATCTGAAGGGAGCCCGGTCATAACCCCGTAAGACACACCAAATAGTAGCAGTGATGCCACCGTTTTGGGGACGAGGGACCAGAAGCAGGAGTGGTGAAACCCGCCAGTGTGTGTGTTTGCTGACGGGGTCCCACCACCCCACCCCACTGCTCTTTCTTTTAAGCAGAAACAGAACGTGGGTGGATCTGCTCAAACGAGGCAGCCCTGACA